TTCCCGGTGACGCCAGCCAAGCCAAGCCAAGCCAAGCCGAATCGAGTCGAGTCGAGTCGAGCGGAGCTGAATCGGAGCAGCCGGCATCGACCCACATGACAAGATGGCAACACGGGGCAGGCCTTTGGTGGTTGCTTCCTTTGTGTGTTGCTTGGCTGCTGGTGGTGGAATTTCTCACTTGGCAGCATCATTTTCCCAAATGCTCAAGTGAGTGTCCGTGTGTGTGTGTGTGTGTGTGTGTATGTGTTGAGATTTTCTTCTTCTTTTACGCTTCAATTGCTTATATCCGTCTTATGCACTGACTCACGAGTCCTTGTCCTGTTGTTGTGGCCAGGCCTAAGCAGGGCGCAGCACAATAAACATCATAATTTACGTCTTTCCCTCTCTCTCTGCTAGCTGTGTGTGTGTGTGTGTGTGTGTGTGTGCGTGTGTATCTGTGTATCTGTGTGTCTGCAAGGTGGTGGAATTTGATGTTGTGTTGTTGCCGTTTGGGTTGATTTTGAAATTACATAGCTGGAGAAATGTTAAATGCTGCATTTTAAGCAGCTTATCAAATAAACCCACAACAGAGAAACAATGTATAAAGCCACGGAGTGAGAGAGAGAGAGAGAGAGAGAGAGAGAGAGAGCAAGAGAGCATTGATCACATGAAAAGGCAAACATAACCTTAAATACACACACATATATAGATATATATATATATGTACGCCAGGCCCATGTGCTGTGCACAGTTTGAGAGCCTTAACGGCGCAGCAGACTAGCTGACTGTTAACAGTTGTAGAGCAACTGGTGACTGGTGGAGAAAAACGTTTGCACATTTTCAATTTGTTTTGGGTGTGGTGAGGAGTTGGAGGGGGGGGTTTGGGTGCTGTTCGCATCTGTCTCACTGTCTGGGCGTATACGCCAGGGCCTGGCCACGAGCCTCGTTTGGCCTTCGTTCGTCAGACGTCAGCGTCGACAGCGTCTGCCTATTGCGTAAAAGCAGCGACGCGACGCTAACGCAGACACCCCCGCAGACAAAAGCGACGCGCACACAGACACTCGCCAGCCGCCACGCCTCTCAAACGCCAATACCAATGCAAACGCCTCTTATTTTATATGTATGCTGCCTTAAAACTCTTTAAAGCTTAAGTAACTTTAAGTCTGCGGCGTCTACTCTCAATGCTGCTGCTGCTGCTGCTGCTGAGACTGCGGCTGCCATGGTCGCCATGCTGTTTGACTCTCATGTGTGGTGAGTTTTGGCACCTGCTGTGAATATGTTGCTTGTGTATGTACATATATATGTATATATGTATGTGTGTGTGAGTGTGATTATTGTTGCTATGTCGAGGCAGTCACAGCTTTCTTTCGCCGTTACGTTATGCTACGTAGCGTGACGCTCTCCCTCTCTCTCTCTCTCTCTCTCTTTCTCTCCCAAGCGCTTATCTATAAACATGTTGCCGGCTAGATAGATGTACATGTATATATTGTGCAACATGCCGCATGTTGCCGCTAGCAATTTACGTAAGCAGCAATGAATGAAAATTAATGCGGTTCATTTCAATGTGTTTGTCTGCCTGTGTCTGTGTGTGTGTGTGTGTGTGTGTGTCGGTTTGTGGCGTGTGCGTGCAATGTTTGCAGCGACTGCCACGCCTCTTGCTGCTGACCCAAATACGCTTCGCTTTTTCGTGTCCAACAGCAGCAGCAACAGCAACGGCGGCAGCGGCAGCAGCAACGGCAACGGTAACCAACAAAATCTTATCAATTCATCAATCATGCATGCAGTCATTTAATGTTCGTTCGTTCGTTCGTTTATTCGTTCGCTGTTGTTGTTGCCTGGGTTACCGCATTGACAGCAATAGCAATTCGCCGCAACATTCGCTCTCTTTCTCTCTCTCTCTCTTTCTGTCTTTCTCGTTTCGCCTTCGCCGCAACATAACCAGCAAGCACGCTGCTGCTGCTGCTGCTGCTGTCAACTGATGCAATCAAGGCGACTGCGACTGCGACTGCGACGGCGACGGCGCAGTTGACGGCGACGCTTTTCCTTTGCATGTATGTGTGTGTGCTGGCGTGTTGTCTGCGTGCCGCACGCGCTCTTTGCCTCCCTATCACCGTCTGGCGCAAGCATAAAGTTAAGTAATTTATGCTGTGACGCTTCGCTGCTGCAGTTTTAGTTTGCCTTTTGTTGCTGCCCGCCGCTTCTCCCTATACGCTCTCGACTCCTCCCGCTCGCACTTGAGCTGTGGCCAGGCCCTAAAAATGCCGCAATTTATATACAACACACACACACACACACACATACGCAGATCGATACTGAGAGAGCTGAGAGCTTTAAGCTTGATGTTAAATCTTTGTGCCTAATACTTATTTCTGAATTATCTTCTATAACACATATTAGATAGAAGCTTTTCAACTGATTCGATTTCTAATTGATTTGTTATGGCTGCTTCTCGTTGCTAGCCAAAACAAAGGCATGGCCATTATTAACACACACACACACACACATACACATGCACATACACATGCACATATGGTATGTACCTTCGTATATGTATGTACTTGCATTTGCCTAGATAAAAAGATAGATTTTTGTATGTATTTGCCTTAATTACGTATGAACCTAATTTTTAAGCACGCAGCGACTGTACTTTGTTTTAATTCCTACACCCTAGTTGTTTGGGGGAAAAAAGATATGGCGTATTTGAAGAGGAAATTACCCGGCGTCGTCCGGCTCATGTAATGAATCGAAATGAAAGTGGCCTCCAAATTGTTTGTGTAAATAATGTAAAAAAAAACAACAATATTTTAAGGTGATTTTTGCATTTGCATTTGACAAAACAAATCTATGTAGATATAGATGTGAGTTGAACGCATGAATGGATTGCACATCGAATAATAAGTCTCTATTTCTAGCAACGTTGCCAAGTTTCACAATTTAACAAAAATGAACTAGTTCCAAAATGTATATAATAGCTGTGATAACAATAGCATATTGTCGCCATATTCTGTGAATAGTTTAGATGGAATAAGGGATATAATGCAAAAGTTTTTGCTTTTGGCACAAGATACATGCATACATATTGTTAATGATTCACGACGGATTTAACGTATTGTCGCATTTGTTTGCTGTTGTTCCTATTCTTGTTGCTTTTGTTTAGTTCGTTTCGTAAGTCACAAATATCAAGAAACAAAGCGCAATTGTTGCTGTTGTTGTTGTATTTAACACCTGCACAATGCACTGCCAAAAATTACAATAACATTTTTTTTAATTAAACAGAAAAGTGTCAACAGCGTTTAACTTTTGACTTTTGGGTTGCCCGCACAAAAAAAAAAAAAAAAAAAAAACAAAACAAAAGCAAGAAAAGAATAAACAAAACAAAAATTGTATAAAATAATATAAAATAAAACGTAAACGTAAACGAAAAGAAAAAAAAAAAACAGCTAAAGCAGCAGAAAATGGAAATCATTTGGCCCCCGTTCGACACCAACAGCAATAAGAAACCGAAATTCACCCGAAATTCCCCCTTCAGGTGGTAAAGAGGATGTGTGTGTGTGCGAGTGTGTGTGTGTGTGTGCGTATGTGTGCGGCGAGTAAAAGGTTCTGGGCAAAAACCTGTAAAGTGCTTGAACTTTGAAATTTTTTACATGCTGCGCTTATAAATTGGCAATTAATTCAATCCCTTGTCGCCTTTTAGCTGTCGAGTTGTTTTGCAAGTCGCAATTTCGGCCAGATCAGCAAATATTAGTTCGTAATAATATGGGGCTAAACTAAAGGTGATCGGGCATCGAGCCATATTCCAAAAGACGCACTAAAAACTTGGCAACTATATAATACCTTGCATGGCCAAATCGAAGGCAATTTTAAATTGTTTGAGTATCGTTTAAATTACTTGATTTTAAGTGTGATCGATAACTATCGACGACTGTTATCGATAGGCACAAATCGATAACAGTTCTGAAAGGAATGCCCAAACATTTCATTTAACTGGCTAATGCCCCGATCTTGATTTTGTGCGTGATCGATAACTATCGACGACTGTTATCGATAGGCATAAATAGATAACCGCAAACAGCTATGAAAAGAATGCCCAAAATATTTCATTCAATTGGCTAATGCCCCGATCTTGATCCATTTCAGCTTCTACCTCTCTCTCTTCCTCCTTCACTCCCCCTCTCGCTCTCTCTACACCTCCGCAACTTATATGCAAATTGAAGTCATTGTCTTTGTACCTATATAAAATCAGAATACTTCGGTTTACCTTTTGTTGTTGAAAGTGGCAAAAAACGCATCGATTTTTATGCGCCTTAACATTACGTGCTTCTTCTTTTTTTTTGGCTTTTTCTTTTGCCTTTTCTCTTTTTATTTAACAAAGTGTCGTCAAAACCTCCTTACGCATGCAAAATGTGCTGACAGGGCAAATCAACGAATCAAAAAAAAAAAAAATAAAAAAAAAAACACACGTATGTTACAATAACTTTCGAAACTTCCTTTTATTTTTTTGCCTGCTGAATAAACAAATCTCCAATTAAATTATATTATCCATATCCCATTCAAATAAACAAATACTCACATGCATTTTGTCGATAATGCGATATTCTCGCTGACTGTTCTTGCGCCCATTGTGAATTGTTTTTATTTAAAATAATTTTTAAAAAAAGTGAAGAAATTAAAATTAATAAAAGTAGCAGCAAATCGAACGCCTTTTGTTGACGTCTGCATCGAATTTCAGTTGTGCAAAAAATCAAAAGTTTCTAGTCTAGACGCAAAAGCCAGACGGGCTTATAATCTGTAAACTGTAAACTGTGGCTAGAATAAAGACGGTTGATTGTTGGCCATTTCATGATTACAGGGTATTTAAAAAAAGGTTGACATCAGCTTAGTAAGCTTGGCTTTAATTTAGATCGTTGACTGTTCAGCGCTTTATTTTCTTTCTTTCTGGCTTTGTTGTTTTTTGTGGCAACACGTGCTGCCACATTTTGTACACTAACTAATGCTATCTCTTTCTGATCTGTTAATTACAGGGAACTACAGGATGGTACGCTCAGAGATCACAATTTAATGGACGGTTCCAAGATCATTTTAATACCAAATGTAGAAACTGGTTTGCTGGTAAGTGACAGAACGATTAACTGTGTTATACATTTAAACAGATTTATATATATATATATATATATACATATATAGTTGACAAGCATATATATTCCAGTACTTAAACACATATCGTAATGCAGTTCATTGGGGTTCAATGTCAGCGCTGCAAATGTGACACAAGCAATCAGCTCCGATTGATATGGCCGTAAATCGATTGATATTGTACACGAAAGGAGCTAACTGCATTAAAGTATAATTTTATGTTGGCTTCAACATACAAGTTCTCATTAGATTGATCAGGTTTCTTCTGTTCAAGATGTTCTTCCATTTATGAACATAAGTATAAGAATTATTATAAGAATTGCTAAATTAGAAAAAAATCCAGGCGAAACTTTGCGTATTTCAAACCTTACGTGTCTATCGATATTGTGAATGCTGCGAAAGCATTAAAAATTGTATTTAATTTAAGTTACTTCAATTTGCAAATTGAACAATTAGATGCATTAATGTCTTACGATAAATCGATAAGTGGCATCGATATTGCTTATCGATAAATCGATAAATGTGGATTGCATTGATATTGCTGTCGCTTACAACTTTTCAACATTTCAATGAAATAATGTTAATTCAAGCAAGCTGAACATTCAAATTTAAACAGTTATTTACTTTAATCTAACTCTTAGCGACAAATCGATAAATGGCATCGATAAATTGTATCGATAATGCGACAGCAGCAACCACATGAATTAGCTTGTAGCTTATCTACTAAATGACTAAGACGCAATCCCGTCTATCACAGATCCAAATAGCTGTTGCCAAGCGTTGATTTTGCCTCGATTCAGCTAATCTTCATATGCCACGCCCCCAGCTGCCAAGCGAACTTCAGCCTGCGGCTCATACAAATGCAAACTTGACCTTTAGGCTGTCGCTGCTGACTTTGTCTTATGAATTTAAAGCCAAAACCAAAACTTTCTCATTAAGAGGCACACACACGCACACTCCCACACACACACATATATATATATATATATATATATATATATATATTTATATGTATATATACACACACAGTTAAGCGAGAAACCTTTAAAAGGCAGCAGAGAAAAGCGGAAAGTCTGAAATGTTTTCAATGCTAAACTCAAACTTGGTTCGTGTCGATTGGCTGTGAAGAGAGTGTCGAAGGGTGAGGAGCATGAGGGTGAGAAGGAGGCGGGGGATTGATCGGACCAACGATTGATTGCCATGGCCAGGGGCCGTCGCCAATTGAGCAGCAAAACAACAACAACAACAACAACAGCAACAACAGAAGCAGCAGCAGCAAATAAAAAGATTTCGTTTTGGCTTCATTTCGATTTTTGTTCAAAAATTTTGCATAAATTAAATTCGAAAAAAAAAACCGGGGCGGCCTGCATTTTAAGTTTGAGCCAACCAGTTTTTCAGATGCCACAACAAAAAACCAAAAGCAACAACAACAAACATTAAACAGCAAATTGCCAAAAAATTTGTGTGTGTAATAAAATAAATATGTAAATAAATTAAAATTTAATTAATGCCAAATAACTTTGGGAATGACAAAAAAAAAAAAACAGACAGCAAAAATAAGAAGAAGAAAAAAAAAACAGATCTTGATGACATACAGCAACAATCGCAGTCACTGCCAAAAGATCACAGTTAAATATTGTCACTGCGATCTTTCACTGTGACTCAAATTGTAGATCACAAATTTGAGCTGTGACTTTGTTTGCCAAAGCCAGGCATTTATAAATTAAGCTTTGAGCATGAATTATAAAAGTATTAATAAAGCGAAAAAAATGTGTTTTGGAAATTTAATTAAATTAATATTAATAATATTAACATATATATACAAATATTAATATATGTGTATATTAATAATATTTATATTCTTCACATAACAGAAACATTTTTTTTTTATGCTTGCTTTTCACATACTTTTCCAAAGATATTTTCTTTTGCAAAAACCCTTTCAGTTCAATTTTTAATTAATTTTCTTTTTTCTTGAATTAATTTTTTAAAAATCTTATCTCTTTCATATTTCAATACTTTTAATATATTTTCTCAATATTTATTGTTGCATTTTGCAAGATTCTTGATTTCTTTTTTCATTCAAATTTCAGTTAATTTAAAATTTTGTAAACTCGTTGATTTTTTTTTTACCAATTTCTCAGCTAACATTTTGTGGTATTTTACTCTTCTGTCAATTCAATGATTTTCATGCTAATTTAGGCTTTTTTTTCGTCTTTCAAATCTATTTAATCCCAACTCCGGCCACGTTTTTGCACACTTCTCTTATTCATCTTTTGGCTTTGCCATTGGCCCCTTTTTCTTTCTCGTTCTTCGCTCTTGCTCCACTTTGTTGTGCGCACACCGTTTGATTTACCGTTTACCGTTTGAATTATGAGTGCCAACTGGCGTGTGTGTGTGTGTGTGTGTGTGTGTTTCATTGCAACATGTCTTGAGTACCAACTAGTTGCCGCCTCTCAGCCACGCCCCAGATTCCTAATTTGCCATCAGCTGTTGACACAATTTGTATGTCAGATCTCAATCTCGCTCGCCCCTCTCTTCCACTCCGCCCCTCGCCTTCTTGCGTGCCGTTGCAGACCGCTTATCAATATTTGCCCCATATCTTATGATCTGTTGTTTCTTTCATTTTTTTTTTTTTTGTTTTCTGCTGATTTGTCTTGTCTACGTTTCTTTTTATTTTTTGTTGTGTGACATGTCTGTGTTTTTTTTTTCCTCTATTCTTTTTTTGTAACATTTATGCTTTATGTGTCGCGACGTTGCAAGTTTTCTTGTGAAACTGAAATCGGTTCAACGTGAGTTTCAGCCAAACTAACTGTGAGGGACACTTGCCGCGAAAACATTGGACTTATTTCTTATAGAGCTGGGCTCAATTTATGAGAGAATTTCTATTTGAAAATAAATATAAACTACTATAAAAGAAAAAAAAATTGATTTATTAAAAAAAAAAATAAATAGGATACAACTAGATAATTACATAATAAACAAAAAGAAGTAAGAGGTTCTAGTCGGGAGCTTCCGACTAGGGCATACCCGGAACCCTCTTCTTCCAACATCAAATGCATATATATATTCTATTTGCCTAGCTATATGTCAAGCTTGGTGACTCTAGCTCTTATTATTTACCAAAATTGTTAAAAAAAAAATTTAATATCGATATCAATTTTTATCGATTGCTTGAAAACGGAGTAAGTATATCGATTATCGGAAACAAACTCGATCTGCTCAGGCACTAGGAGCACCTACATCTAAAATTTCAAGTCTCTAGCTCTTATAGGTTCTGAGATCCTTGCGTTCATACATACGGTCGGACGGACATGGCTAGATCGACTCTGCTATTGATGCTGATCAAGAATATATATACTTTATGGGGTCGGAGATGCTTTAGGGTATAAAAAGAAAATACATAATAAATTCTTGAAGAAGGAGGAAATGGCATCTGGAATTTTTTGACCCACTCGGGGGAGGCCTTTTTTTTTTTTGCAAATTATTCCACATGTCACGTTTCCCGTTCAAATTTGTTTTGCACATTAATAATTTGTTTACAGATTGTAAATTCGATTGAACTTTTTCTATGGAATATTCATATTGGTGTGGGACGAGCAATGCTGTCCAAGTCAAATGTCAAATGTCGAATCAGGCATGCCGAAGAGAGGGCTTCAATGCGTAGCGAGATTTCCGTTGCCGCCCCCCTTTTGCTGCACAATGTTGGTACATACATACAAACGTGGCATGCCCCGCGCATCTTTCAGTGCACAAGCGCGAAGGCACCCACACACACCCACACACACACACACACACACACACACACACACACATTTATGTTGGTTGTGCATTTATGAATGTGTGTACCAGTATTGAGGTGTGTGTTGTATAGAATTTCGTGCAATTTTCGTGAGGCGAACAAAGAAATATTTTGGCGTGCACGAAAATCAGCAAAAAAAAAAAAAAAAGAAACGCAACAGCAACAACAAATGAACACAATTATAGTGATTGTTTTTTATTTGGCTTAAACGATTTTTGCTTTGGAAATGTGCGGTTATTTGTGTTGTTGCTGCAGCGACGATCGTTAAACAAAAGCTCATTATTGTCAATGGAAACAACAACAACAGCAACAGCAACAATTGTCACAAAATATGTATGTTGCACCTGACCAAATGTACAAACAGCAGCAAATTTAGTGAAACAAATTAGCAAAAGCTGTGCAACAACAAATTAAAGCTCACAAAATGCCAATTAGTGCTCGCCAGAGTTTAGCCAGTGCACTGACAGCCAATTATACCCTGCATCCATTCAAAATGGCCAAAAGAGTATACGGGTTTTGGGCCAGCGAAAAGGAAGCAGCTGTCAGCTGAGTCGAAGTTCAGGAACAGCTCCAGGTCCAGTTCTGGTTTCGATCTCGCCAAAAAGTAGAGCTTAAGGCTTAGAAAACTAAATTATAGATTCTTCCATAATATCGATATGTATCGAATTCATAAACTTGGTTCTTTTTGTATAGTATGTAAGCATAAATAATAATTCACATTTCATCAAGATCGGACTATAAGCACCGAAGCTAATTCGAAAGGTGCGCAACTCCCACGAACCCTTGCATGTTTTACTCTTTGCCACCAAAAATCAGCACTCATTAATTGGCGACTTTTCCTTTGTCTTTCGAAAATCATTTCACATATAAACTTCCAATTTTATGTTTTATATGTATGTTTAAATAGCGAATCAACAATTTTGTGTCCGTTGTGCTAAAAATAGGTTTTTTCTTTTATTTGAAATTTTATTTTGCTAATATTTTGTGTGATTGCCCCCCTCCCCCCTAATGACACAAGCAAAGATATAAATATTTAGACAAGTTCGTGCTGTTCGACTTTCAAATACCCTGTAAGCATTGACAAACGAATTTCAAAACTACAAACTGACAATTTCTGCTAAATTTGACCCGGCGACCTCACGCTTGTAGGTCACACGCTCAAAGCACAATAGAG